TTCCTTTTCTTTCCTCTCCTCTTCTCTCCTTTTCTTTTCTTTCCTTTCTTTTCTTTTCCTTTCTTTTCTTTTCCTTTCCTCTCCTTTCCTCTTCTCTTCTCTCCTTTCCTTTTCTTTCCTTTCCTTTCCTTTTCTTTCCTCTCCTTTTCTTTCCTCTCCTTTTCTCTCCTTTCCTTTCCTTTTCTCTCTTCTCCTTTCCTCTTCTCTCTTTTCCTTTCCTTTCCGTTCCTCTCCTCGTCTCTCCTTTCCTTTCTTCGCCTTTTCTTTCCTCTCCTTTCCGCTTCTCTTCTCTCCTTTCTGTTCCTTTCCTCTTCTCTCCTCGTCTTTCCGCTTTTCTCTTTTCCTTTCCTGTCCTTTCCTCTCCTCTTCTCTCCTCTCCTTTCTTCTTTTCTCTTTTACTTTCCTTTCCTCTTCTCTCCTCGTCTTTCCGCTTTTCTCTTTTCCTTTCCTGTCCTTTCCTCTCCTCTTCTCTCCTCTCCTTTCTTCTTTTCTCTTTTACTTTCCTTTCCTCTTCTCTCCTCGTCTTTCCGCTTTTCTCTTTTCCTTTCCTGTCCTTTCCTCTCCTCTTCTCTCCTCTCCTTTCTTCTTTTCTCTTTTACTTTCCTTTCCTCTTCTCTCCTCGTCTTTCCGCTTTTCTCTTTTCCTTTCCTGTCCTTTCCTCTCCTCTTCTCTCCTCTCCTTTCTTCTTTTCTCTTTTACTTTCCTTTCCTCTTCTCTCCTCGTCTTTCCGCTTTTCTCTTTTCCTTTCCTGTCCTTTCCTCTCCTCTTCTCTCCTCTCCTTTCTTCTTTTCTCTTTTACTTTCCTTTCCTCTTCTCTCCTCGTCTTTCCGCTTTTCTCTTTTCCTTTCCTGTCCTTTCCTCTCCTCTTCTCTCCTCTCCTTTCTTCTTTTCTCTTTTACTTTCCTTTCCTCTTCTCTCCTCGTCTTTCCGCTTTTCTCTTTTCCTTTCCTTTCCTCTCTTCTCCTTTCTTTTCCTTTCCTTTCCTTTCCTCTCCTCTTCTCTCCTTTCTTTTCCTTTCCTCTCCTTTCCTCTCCTTTCCTTTTTTCTTCTTTCTTTTCCTTTCCTCTCCTTTCCTCTCCTTTCCTTTCCTTTTCTCTCCTTTGAGGATCTGGATGCTCACTGCCCTCCTGTGCTGCTCGTATTCTTGCGTATCGAGGCGAGCATCGAGTTGATTGGACATTGATCGATGATGATGTCCGCGAGATCTCGTTGCGCTTTATTTTCGATTTGCGTTTCGAGCATCTCTGCGTGTTTCATTTTTCACAAGTGCATGAAATCTCGAAGGTCGTGTTCGATGCTCGTCGAATACGTCGAACTTCGATCCCTGATAAATGTAAATAAATCTTGGAAACGAGATTTCTTTCGTGTATCGCGACAAGTTGAAGGAGTTACTTGAAAAAAACTTTTACAAAAGTTGAAGGTTTATTTTGTGAACGTAATTTTTATCGTGGCTCATCTGGGAAAGATTGTGAATATTTTTGAATATTTATTTCGAGTTAGAGGAAGATTGAAATGGAATAGAAGTTTTGATAAACGAGAGATGATATATCTTGATCTCCATTTTGAATGAATGCAAAAGTTATTATTGCATTAAAATTAAATTTTGAGGATCTTAAAGATCGAATTCGAATGCCTATACTTCATTTTGGTTCTCTTAAGAAAAATAGTAGGGGGAGGGGCAACGTGTCATTTTTCTCCTCGTAGTTTCACCACGGAAAGCTTTTCCATCGTCTTAACCGTAACTCTTACGTGTAAAAGCGCTTTTATCCTCTCCATCGTGCGTTATTACCTATGCAGCTACAATTTAATGCCTCGTTGAGGTCGTGAATAAAAACGTGGAAAGCTTGGTATCGTCGTAATTAATTAACAAAATTCATTCAAATGATAAAAATATCCGAAATATATTTTAATTTCTTTTTCACAAATTTCCACAAATTTTCGAAGGACGAAATTCGTCATCTCGTGAATCATCCATTTGTCACTGGTTAAAACATGAACTTGCAAATTCTGGACTCGTGGGGGAGCATCTCTCCCCAAGGAAATTATTTAGACAAAGAAATAATAAGGGGTCGAATATCGAAATTCGAGAGATAAATATTTATGATTTATATGATTTATATGATGTTTCGATTTTCGTATAACATTTCAATTTCTGTCGCTCTGGTATCGTTATTATTCTCTGTACGTGACATTCCGTACAATTTTGCCATCGAATCCTCATTATTTATATATTCAAACAGCCAATATTTTATTTGCAACTTTATTTGCAGAGAATTTCAATATCGTTCAAATCAAATTCGAAAAGATTCCATCTTGAATTTGTTTCTTATATTTCTCGTAGAAAATTATCGACTGGGAATCTTATCGATCGCAAAAAATGAATTTCATCGCGAATGATTCGCAAGTATTTCGGGGGGAAAGCAAGAGTCGAGAAGCAAGATATATTTGCCAAGGAATCGCGACATTGGAGGAGGTTGCCCAGTTTTCGTTTCCGCAAACTGCTCGCAAATATTTGACGTCGAATCTCTCCGGTTCGATTCTCGGTCGATAAACAATCGGCTCGGTCGATAAATAATCGGACGAAAATTGAAATTTCAAGTTTTTGCCGGGTTATAAATCGTTCGATCCCCGATTTTCAAACGAATCATCTCGACAACGCGCGTATCTAATAACAAAGTATGAAAATTCTTAACTCTTTGCTCTCCATTAACTCTCGGTCGCCATTTGAGTTGACTTTCTGTGATCTCACTGAGATTGTTGTGGCAACTTGAACGGCGACAATATTTATTTATGTTTAATTTTTTTAGAATACCGCTTCTTAAAAAATAAGAATAATAGATAGTGAATGCAATAGTTGAAGATATCGTAAAAGACACGGAAAATTCCAAATGGATAACATGCAGAGAATCGTGGAAAAAATCGTGAAAAATACAATTTGTAGAACCGCAAGTATCTTCGAATATAATGAATTATATGAATATGAAATATAATGAACCATTAGATTTTTTTAAACTATTTTTTCTTGATTATCAATGATATTTTAATAACTTTAAATATTTTAAATATTTTTTCTTGAACTTATTAATGAAATAGTGCACAAAACAAATGCAATAAAAAAGTTAGAAGAAAAAGTACTATTGTTCTATTTGCCCTGACAAACCAGAAGATGCATCTTGGTAATTGCTTCATAAAATATCAAGATATAAATATAAAACAATATAGATTTTAATATTCGATAAATTTAATCTTTACATGTAAAGATACATAAAATATTAAAATATAAAATTTTTATGCGTTAATTGTGAAATCATATTATAAATTAGCTGTAAGAAATTCCACCGAAATGGGTGGAGTCCAAGTCTGAAATTGCTAGTTCTAAGCGAAACAGGCCTGGAGTGCAAAGGGTTAATATCGAAATTTTCAAAATCTAATAGTAGAGAAAAAAATTCAATAAATGACATCTTCCATGAAAATGGAAGGAGAAAATATTTGGAACAAACGTTTACCCAGGAACAAAAGATTTCTGAAACTATTCCCTTTTTCTTTTATAATTCCATGCATTTACCATAGATAAACTCCTACATGCTTGTACATCAAATAGTTAAAATTACAGAATAACAGTTCATTTCAATAATTTAATAATATTACACGAGAAATATTAAAATTTATTCGAACATGTTTTAATTATAAATATAATAATTAAATAAATAAATAAAATATTTATTAATAAAATAATGTACTTGAAGTAACTTTATTATTTCTTTCTCTGTTGCAGAATTATTTATTATAAATTGAAAGAAAAAAACAGCGAGGGTTAATATTAAGAGAGAGTGATTCTTACCAGTCGAAGAAGTTCCAGAGGCAGGTGAACATGGCGACGATGGCGCATCGAACAACAAGGACTGAATTCAATTCACTCGAGTCGTTCGATCTCTTTTCGTATCACATTTTTCACGCAACAACCGCCCCCCACCGTTGCATTCGTCTACCCCCCCAATTTCTCATTACTTATCCCAAGTTGCAAACAATTTTCACACACGAAACTAGGAACTTTGCACTATGATACACCGATAACATACACGAAAAAATTGTGTTATTCCATATCTATCGATATCTAGTTGGTTCTATTGAGCCTCAAGTTACGTCTGTTACGAATGTCCTGGAAGACGAGACGTAAATTATTTCCATCTAGAAGAATATTATTCTCGATTTATTACGAATCTTAGAGACGAAAGAGATGATTGGAGGGAAGTCATATTTCGTTCCTATTTTCCGTCATTCGAAAGTAAGAAATGAGAAAATGGAATTTCACACGATTGTTTCTTTTTTTGTACTTTTTAATAGCTAATCGCATCTACTTCGAAGCCAGAACGTTGAACTACTGAAAGAAATTATTCGCAAGATTCAGAATAAAGTCACTTCTAGTTCTTTCTAGTTTAATTTTGTTAAAGTAGACACATTTTGCTCATTTTTATTCATCGTTACTTTAATATATGTTGGGATTGATTGATCACTCCTCGACAAGAATATATTCCATCTCTTATTATTATCAACAACAAAGACAAAATCCTTTCGATATCCCAAATATAATATAATAACCGATAAATAATGATAAAATAAATATAAAATAAAAATACTATAATACACTTTTCAAATATGTTCAAACTCGATTTCTTCTTCGAAAACTTTTATAACCTCTCTCTTTGTAACATTCGAGTACAACTCGAGGCGACCGAGAGGGCGCCAAGGAAGTTTAAGAAAATGGCGGATGGGTCTCTCTCTCTCTCTCTTTTCGGGAAGAGGAGTGGGGAGAGAGGCAAAATTGCATTGTCCTCGAACGAGCTGTTTGTCATAGGAATCATGGCCCGGGAGACCTTGCCTTGGCAATTTGTCAGGTTAATTCGGAATCGCGGAATTGCAAATTAACCGTCCGTCTTTTCTCCGCGAGATATGTAATCTCGCCGCTAACGCAAACAGTCGGAGGGGAAATTGCATACGTAGCGGCGCGTATACCCCGCCTGCTTTATTAGCTTTTCACGAGCTCGCGTTTACGTTTTCACGGCGCAATTCTCCACTCTCTTTTCTCCTTTTCTTCGTGTCCTCCAATTCCTTCTTAACGGAAATTATAATAATCGATCATTTTTTAAGTCATTTGATAGTACGATCGTTAAATGGTTTATTAGGATTATGTTCATCAATATTCTTATAATTATTATATGAATAATCTCAAAATCAAAATTCCAAATAAATTAATTAAAATAAACTCAATTTTTAAAATTATTATTAATCGTAATATTCTATATATCCCCAACTTTAATATAATAGATGCTAAAGTTATTCAAAGACTAGTGTATGTAGTTTAGTTTCTTTTTTTTAGATTAAAATTATTTCGAGTAAAGAACAAAATTAATTTTTAATAATAAAAAAAAATTGGAAAACACTGATATCTGGTTTTATTTTACTCAACACAATTATCGAAAATATTGTAACGATGTTTTTTAGATGTTTCTGAAGAGATCGATCCGAAAGTAATTTTTAAAATCGTATTTTATTTTAATTTCCTTCGCAATAAATATTGATTAATAAAGATAAGTTAAAGAGTATTGGTTATGTAATTTTTTTTTAAAGATTTTTGCATTGGAACATATTTATTAAAAATGTTAAATTGATTTTAAGATATTTGTAAAATTCCAAATATTATATATATATACATAATTGTAAATTGCGAGGCAGATAGTAAAGATTTCAATAATAAATTACGCGAATAATCCAGATGTATCATTATAACTATTTCGCGAAGATAAAAACATTTTACGATGATACTTGAACGATGCGATATGCAAATTCGAAACACGCGTTCATTTGCATAATAACGCGTGAACGTAACGAAACGCGTGTACCTGTAGAATGAGACGCGAGAACGAGACGAAAAAGCGCGACATCGTTCCAAAAAATATTTAAACAAGACTAAAAATGAAAGCAAAATTGGAAAAAAGATCATAAAAGAACATATCACATGTTTTCTCGTTTCTTAAAAAATTTAAAAAATGAAAAATCACGAATTACTTCGATTGTCGAGAAAAGAAACGTATTTTTCTATAATTCTTCAAATAATTCTCATTGTCATGGATTTATTTTTCTCTCATCCATTTTTCTTTTTAAATTTCCAAATTTTCAAATGTCACAAATTATTCTCAATAATTATTATTCTCATTATCATTTCTCCATAATTCATTTCCATATTTCGAATGAACTTCGTTAAAATGCTCGAAAATTAATATGCTTGAAAATTTCCATTCCCAACGAACAGCCTGTTTTTTGAAAATATATATATATAGCATATGCACTCGTAAATTGGTTTCCAGGTTCCAGTGAGGTAGTAAATAAGAGGAGCGAGTGTCGTCAATAGCTTAAGTACCGGCTTAATTGGACGATTAAAAGGACGAGAGAAAGGAAAATCCAATACGGGAAGGGAATAACGGGGGAGATGGCAACACTGGCCGTCACGAGTTTGTCGTTTTGCTTTCTCTCCGCGATGCGAATATCTTTTCCTCTCTCTCTCCCTCACCAAATGTAGAGTAAAACTGCAATTGCTAAACGCTGTTTCCGTGTCGCGTTACATCGCTCCATGGCGAATAATCGGAGGATAATGGAGGAAGATATAGGAAACGAAACGACAGTGGAACAGTTGAAACGCGAGTAAGAACTTTTGTTATTCGATTTGAATAGCGATCCAAATGAAACGAAAGAAATAATATGAGAATGGATTATACCGTATTGAGTATTTGGTGGAAATATTTTTCCATCTTATCACGATCTTTTTCTTTTATCTTTTTTTTAATTCTTTAATCTAACCTACTTGAATTAGAAAATTAGAAAATTTTTAATTTTTCTCAGATCAAAGACAGATTAGAGGATAAGATAATTAAAATTAATGTCGTTCTTGGTGTTGATATATTTATGAAATATCTAATATACAAAAATATCCTGTCTCTTTTATTCGATGCAAACTTAAATTGTTTATAATTTAATAAACATTTCGACATTTTTTTTTCTTTGAAAGAGATCCCATAAATAAATATATTTAACAGGGGATTTGATTCAATTGAATTAATGAAAGTTAGAAAAATCGTCACATCCTCCCTCTTCAAAAAAAAAAATCTCCCAGCGTGTCGTTTCGCACGCGCCTATTTCTCCACCGCCCATTCTTTTTTCTCTTCACAGTAAAACCGCGCTTAAACGTCTCGCCGAGCAATATGTCGAGGCGAGGCGTGGGGCGGACAGCTGTGCACGCGGGCGATTTGAAAAAAGCACTTCGCACAAAAGGCGAAGAAACACCGAAGCGAGAACAATGTGTGTGAGAGAGAGGAAAAGAGAGTCAAGCGGTGGGGATGGAAGAGATCAGCAAGGTCAATGGCGAACCATCTCGCGCGCCATCTCTTTTTAACGCGGCGCGCGTGCCACGCGATTACCCACTCGCTTCCGTTCGCTCGTAGCCCACTGTGCTCGTTCCACTCCATGGACGAAATGAAGAGGAGAGGAAAGGAGATTCGTTGGAAAGGTGAGTAGGGATAAGAGGGGTGGGGCGAGGGAACAATGGTCGGCGAACAGCCGTTCGAATTCTGTTTTTCACCGTGTTTCCCCTCATTTTAATTCGGCTAGATTTGGAAAAAATTTAAGCTGAACAGTGAAGTGCTCCTCCGTTTAACTCGAATCCCACTCTGTGTCGTTTTTTTCCGAGGATAGAGAGAAAAGGAGATGGAATAGTGATGATGGAATCGAACGAATGTTTACGAAAGAAAGATAAAGAGTGGAACAGTAGTTCCAATCGATTCTCTTTTTTTAAATGTTTCTACATTTTGATTGGGATTTGGAAAAAATTTGGTTTAAAGTGTTTCTGATTCGATAATGGATCGAGGCAAAGAGAAAAGGATAGACGTGTGTCGAAAGGCGATGAAAAATATCGACAGGATACGTGGAGCTATTTAGATAATTCTAATCTTAATTGGTATTTGAGTGCCAGCAAAAGATATTTCTTTAAGCTGGTATTTCTGTTTCAATGATGAATCGAGGAAAAGAGAAAAGAATTAGAGGCGCGTTAAAAGAGCGAATATGTGGAAGGCAATGCTGAATATTAAATTTTAAACGTTTTTAAACGTTTCTCGATTTTTATCGGGATTTGAGATTTGGAAGCTATTATAAAATACTCGTTTAGCTTCAAAGGTAGAAGCGCGAATGTGGAATTAGAATGAAGAGTGGCGGAAATAATGCCGTTCGAATCCTGTTTTTAGATTTTTTCCGATTTTAATTAGAATTACTCGCCTAGCTCGTTTCTGCTTCGTGTGTGCGCGCTTCGAAAAAGATAGAAACGCGTCAAAAGAGTGAATGTATAATGAAATATATAAAATTAGAATTAAGAATTAAGAATAAGAAATAATATTGACCAATCGTTCGATTCTCGTTTTTAGACATGTTTTTCCGATTTTAATTAAGATTTGAGATTTGAAAGCTAAAATACTCGCTTAACTCGTTTCTGCTTTGTGTGTTTCGAAAAAGATAGAAACGTGTCAAAAGAGTGAATGTAGAATATGTAAAATTAGAATTAAGAATTAAGAAATAATACTCAACAATCGTTCGATTCTCGTTTTTACACCTGTTTTCCCGATTTTAATTAAGATTTGAGATTTGAAAGCTACTCTAATTGAATACTCGTTTAACTCGTTTCTATTCTGTGCTTTGTGCTTCGAAGATGGATGGAGAAAAAAAGGTAGAAGTGTGTCGAAAGGATGAATGGGGAGGAAAGGTGATGGAACCGATCGTGGATATTTGCGGAATCGATTCTCTCTTTTTAGATTTTAATTGGGATTCGGAAAAAGTGTCTCTTTAAGGGATGAAAGAAAGTGTTCGCTTAGCTCGCTTCGCCTGTGCTTAGATTGAGAAGAAAAGAGACAGAAAAGGATGAATAGAGGAAGAGAGATAAGGAGGGTGGAGGATAGAAACGAGTTGGTAATAAAGTGGCGCGAGGAACGAGGAAACACAAAATTATATATTCGTGCTTCTTCATTTTTTTCTCTCTACTCTTTTTTTCGAAAATTCTCCTCGATTTTATAATGCTTTTTTCCCAGAATAATTTTTTTTTTTTTATAGAAAATGAATAGCTTGTTTCGACTGTATTCGTAGTTGATTCG